CATGTGAGTTCTGATCCTCAGAGGCCAGCACACACACCCCACCCCCCACCACTAATAATACACAAAGAAGCTGTACCTCCCACCTACACATCACCCACTCCTAGGCGCTTTAAGACTCAGTTCAAATGTCTCCTCCTCCATAATGCCTTCCCCAACTAACTTCCCTGGCTCCTGGTGTGCCCTGGGCCTGATGCCTTCATTTGAGCGAGCTGTACACCATGTCTTAAGTGAACGTACTTCCAGAAAGCCCGGCCCACCAGGGCAAGGACTGTGTTTTTCAATGGGAAGTTTTGTCTTTAAAATGAAAGGGGGGCCCCTGGCTGGTTTGGCTCAATGGATAGAGCGTCAACTGGCGGACTGAAAAGTCCCGGGTTTGATTCTGGACAGGGGCATACGCCTGGGTTTTGAGCTCGTTCCCCAGTAGGGGGCGTGCAGGAGGCAGCTGATCAATGATTCTCATCATTGATGTTTCTATCTCTCCCTCTCCCTTCCTCTCTAAAAATCAATAACATATCTTAAATAAAAAATAATAAAAAATAAAAATGAAAGGGGGAAAAAATGTGAGCTGGGAGGTGGAAGGTGAGTGGGGCCCTGTCCCTGCTGTTTGCTTCTGTTTGCAGAGCTGAGGAAGCAGATGGCAGGGCGGACTGAGGACAGAGCTGTTGCAGTCTACATTCAGGAGTGACAGGAACAACCCTCCAGAAGGCATGAGACCCCCTTTGCACAATGTGAGAGAAGACGCGGCTTCTGCGAGGCTGGTCCCGCAGGGAAGCTCTGCCAAAGCGCTGTGCTCCCTGCGGTAAGGACGTCAGGACTGCAGGGCACATCCCCCGAAATCTGAGCTACTATCTCCTGAACGACCTCCCCCCTCTGAGCACTGACAAGGCCTCTCTCTTTCTAGGCTAAGCCAGGGTTTCTCAAAGTGTGGTCGGTCCCCAGCAGCAGCAGCAGCAGCAGCAGCACGTAGGGCCTTGTCAGAAATTCCAGCGTTCGGGCCCCATCCCAGACCCCCTGTGTCAGAAACAGAAACAGCCGTCAGAAACAGCTGTTGGTGAGTGTGAGTCCTCCTCGTAACCCGGTTAGGCCTGAAAACCACCTTTGGAAAGACACTACGCTGCATGTAAAAAAAAAAGAAAAAGAAAAAAAAAAGAAAAAAAAGAAAAGAAAAAGAAAAGGAAAGAAAGAAAAAGAAAAAGGCCTTAGAGATATAATCCAGAGTGGTTTAAGGTTAAGAATAAATGAGAACCCCATCCCATGCCCCAGGCTATAAAATGCCCAGGATCCCTAACACTCCCCACTCTCCTCCACGAAGCAGCCCAACAGTCAATTTAATGAAATCAGCACATTTATTTGAAATGTGCAAAAACGGTTTTTCATATCCTACGAGTAGCACCAGATGTTTTAGCTCTTTTTCCCTAATTGATTTTCCAGCCTACAACGGATTCCTCTCTGGGTTTTCCAGTTGGATCCTAACGCGGCAAGGAGAGCGTGTTCCGGCAGGATTGCTAAATGCCGTGCATTTATAAAGCAAGCACACCCGCCGCCCTGCGTCATCCGAGCGGCTGTCTTCCCAATCTCTTTCAGAAAGCGGGGCCTCCATCGGTCCCGGGCACCTCGGAGCGGGCAGGAACCCCAGAAAAGGCCTTCTCAGCGGGGGGCTGGGTCTCCAGGCTCTTGGCTGGTTGCAAAGCTGAGTCCTGGGCAGCGAGCCCAAGCCTGAGCTCTCCCCAGAGTCCTGCACGGCCTGGTACCGAAGCGTTTGCTGCTGTAAAATCTGCAAGCCAACATTTTGTTTTCAACGGGAAGTTTTGTCTCTGAAATGAAGAAAACGGGAGCCGGGAGGTGGAAGGTGAGGGGGGCTCTCACCCCGCTCACTCCGAGCCTGCGGAGGCCCAAACAATTCCCCTCTGTTGGCCAGTGGGTCCGGTCTGGCTGCACTGGGTGTTGAAGTGGGTGAAAGGTCACCAGCAACCAGGTTTGCCTCACTCAACGAAAGCTCTGGGTGTCTGGGGAAAGAGGGAAACAGGAGCCTGGAGCTTTAAAGCAAACTTCCAAATGGATCTCGTGGGGCTCTGCCGAGAGGGTGTGTGTGTGTGTGTGTGTGTGTGTGTGTGTGTGTGAGGGGGAGCAGGAGGGGGAGCCACTAAGTGCTAGGATCCCAGAAAGTGCTGATCCCTAAAGCGAAAATCACACTTCTTAGGGCATTGGGAGACGCTGGCACTGTCAGAAGACCTCCCCCAGAAGCTGCTGAGGTCTGAGCCAGCATGCCTGCACAGGATCCTCGTGTGGTCTCCCAGTATGTCTGCTTGTCTGGTTCTCAGAGCCCTTAAGTGTCTGAAATTAGAGCTCATTGGGATTAAAGCTTAAACTGGCTGTTCCAACTATGAGTAACTGCCTGCTCTTCCCTCCCCCTGCAAACTCCAGTGCTCTGTTCATACAGTGGCCATCTCAGCACTAAGAATAAAGCATTCTAAGCCCCGTATAGACACACATGCAGATGCAAGATCAAGGACAGAGGCCAGCTCCTGATTTCCAGGAGCTCCAGCCCCAAAGTAACAGCCTGCGGTTTCATGGGGTGCAGTGCATGGTGGAACCTTGTTTCTGGAACGTAATTCGTCATGGAAGGCCGTTCAAAAACCAAATCATTTTTTCCCCATTAGAAATCATGTACATTTAATTAATCCAACCCAGACTTCCAAATGATTCCGTTTCAACCTTTCTTATACACAGTACATGCCTACTGTATTGGTTAAACTATAAATATTTCTACAAACAAAAATGAGCCCTAACCGGTCTGGCTCAGTGGATAGAGGGTCGGCCTGCGGACTGAAAGGTTCCAGGTTCGATTCTGGTCTAGGGCATGTAGCTTGGGTGTGGGCACATCCATCCCCTGTATGAGGTGTGCAGGAGGCAGCTGATGGATGTTTCTCTCTCATCAATGTTTCCAACTCTCTATCCCTCTCCCTTCCTCTCTGTAAAAAATCAATAAAATATATATATATTTTTTTAAAAAAATGACATGAAATGAAAATTTAACGGAAAGGGAAATGTACAGTACAGAAATGAAAGTGTTGACACTAGGTGCCTGGGTAACTCTATCTTCCTCTGGAACTGGGACCAGAGCACCCTGCTCTCCCAGAGCCACCCAACCCCCACCCAGCCCAAAGGAATTCCATCCGCACCTGCTACAAATACCACCAGGGAAGAGGAATTGGTGGAAAGAAAAGACCTTGCTGGCAGAATTCTTCCCTTGCCCCCAAACCACTAGGCTATTTGTACACACGATTAAACCACAGAAGGGAATGTTGAGGGGCTGGGTAGAGGGATTGAGAAAAAAAGAAAAAACCCACAAACAGGATGGTGATTGGGGAGGGGCAGAGGGGGGATAAATGGCGATGGAAAAGACTGAGCTTGAGGTGGTAAAAACAACACAGTGTACTGATCATGTGTTGTAGAACTGTGCATCTGAAACCTGTGCACTTTTGTCACCCAAGAAATTCAATAAGACAGGGAAAGAAATGGACCACAGGAGCCATTTTATAAATGTCGTCATCATAATCTTTTAATATTTTACATAAAAAACTGTATACACAGCTTATAGAACTTTCATGTAAACATCATAAGCTCACCACTTTGTCATTTGTCAGTTTATTTTAAAAATAAAAAACAAGACAACAATCTAGTAGAAGTACCACTGGGAGGGGGAGGGCGGGGAGGAAGAAGGCTGGGGGCAGGTTCGTTCTCTGTCGGAGACGCAGAGAAATGTTCACATCGCTTTAGACACCGCCTGGTGAAGGAAAGAGGGGGTTCAATGGGCCCCAATGCTTGTTACTGCCCTTTCTCACAACAGGGCGCATACCTGCACCAACCAAATCGCAAGACGGCATTGCCACTTTTTTTTTTTCTTTCAAGAAAACAAAATAAAAGTTAGTGGTTTGTTTTCCCTCTCATTTTAGAAGTCATCATCACTTTTCCTTTAAAACATCAGAAGTCGATGAGGTTACAACGTACACGTGTGGTCAAGAATGCTACTGTCTTACACAAATGACAAGTGCATGGAGTGTCCACGAAACAATTGTGCAAAGAACTCTTTCCAAAGGAAAAAAAAACAACAGGTTTGAAAGCCTTTAAATAAATCGAAAACCTCGGGTTCTTGAACTGAACAATATTTCACTTGTAGGACAGGCACTGAGTCCGCTTATGGCAAAAACAGCCCGCAGCAGCGCACTCTCCCCTCCCCGGGCCCGGGGCTGGCCAGGGGTTTCGCCTGAGGCTGGCGTGCAGGCGACTGTGTCAGTCTGGAAGCTGTGTCCTCGCAGCCCCACGTCAGTTGTAACCATCTTCCCCGGGGGACTGGAAGGATGACCAAGTCCTGTTCCTGCCTTGGATGGGTGGCGCCTGCCCCAGAGCTGTCACTCCACCCACCACCACCATTAAATAACAGCATCCTGCCTCTGAAAATAAAATTATATCTATATATTTATATAACACCCCGCCCTCCCCACCCTCCCCTCCCGCAGCACGCAGTTCCCGTGGTCTATGTTACAGACAGGAGACGGCAGGCGCTCGAACATCGGATGGGGCTGATGGGGCGCGGCAGGCAGGCAGCACCGGGGCACCAAGCTCCTCTCCGGGGACCGGAGGCGGGGATGGAGGGGGTTGGGGGGGAGCATAGGGCTGCGGGAGGCGGGGTGCGGGGAGTCCAACACACACAGCCACACCCTCTGAAGAGGCTTGGCTCTTCCCAAAAAGGGTGCTCAGGGGGGTCCCCCCTTGGCACTCGGTTGTAGGGGCGCGCCTGGGCCTGTGCAACGCAGCAGCCGGAGGCGCACAGACACTGGAAAGGGGACGGACGCGCGGGGCCTTCCCACGCCGGTTCCGGGCTCCAGGGTCACCGCCGCTGGACTTCGGGGGTGCCGGGCGGGAAGGCAGACGCCGGATGGGCGGTCGGTCCGGTGGTGTGGGGTCCCCGGCGCGGGGAGGGACGGCCCGGGCGGCCCTCAGAGCACCTTGCAGCAGTTGATGCAGCCGCCCTGCGAGCCGTAGCGCTTCTGCAGCGCGGCGCGCGTGGCCGTCTCGAAGACCTCGCGCACGCCCTCCTTGGTCTTGGCCGAGCACTCGAGGTAGTCGTAGGCCTGGATGCGCACGGCCATGGCGCGGCCGTCCTCCGTGCGCACGGGCTCCTGCTTCATGCGGGCCAGCTCGGTGCGGACGTGCTCGTCGCCGCGCAGGTCCTTCTTGTTGGCCACCAGGATGATGGGCACGTTGGGGCAGAAGTGCTTCACCTCGGGCACCCACTTCTCCGGGATGTTCTCCAGCGAGTCGGGGCTGTCCACCGAGAAGCACATGAGGATCACGTCGGTGTCCGGGTAGGAGAGCGGCCGCAGGCGGTCGTAGTCCTCCTGGCCCGCCGTGTCCCACAGCGCCAGCTCCACCTGCTTGCCGTCCACCTCGATGTCGGCCACGTAGTTCTCGAACACGGTGGGCACGTACACCTCGGGGAACTCGTCCTTACTGAACACGATCAGCAGGCACGTCTTGCCGCACGCGCCGTCGCCCACCACCACCAGCTTCTTGCGGATGGCCGCCATGAGCGCGCCGGGGCCGGGGCCGGGGCCGGGCAGCGGGAGGGGGCCCGCGGGCGCCTCGCTGCCGTCCCGCTCGCCGCTCACTGCTCACCTCGGGCTCGGGGAGGAGGGAAAGGGGGCGCAGGGGCCGCTAGCTGCGCCCGGGCCCGGCGATGGCGCGTCCTCCCGGTGCGCTCCGGCGGCCGCGGCGGGGGCGCGGGGGCATAGGGCGCGCCGGGCGTCTCCGCGCTGCTCCCGGGCAGTGGCCGCTCTTCTCGCGCCTCGGACCCGGACCCGGACCCGGAGTCGGCGCCTTTGTGCGCGGATCGCAGAGAAGGCAGCGGCCCCGGCCTAGATCCGCGGGCGCCTGCAGCTCGGGAGGGGAGAGGGCTCGGCTCCGGCCAGACTGCGGCGGCGGCAGACGCGGGCTGCGGCCCTAGCGCCCGCTATTTAAAGAGTCCGGCCACTTTCTTAATATAGCCGCCCAATGGGGAGCGGGCCGGCTGAGCTCATCGCTGCGGAGCTCGGCTCTGATTGGCCGCGCGCTGCAGCCCGGGGCGGGGCCGGGCGGACGTGATGGACGGCCCCGGCCGCCGGGCTGGGAGCGGCAGGGACCGGGGAGTCTGCGCCCCCGGCCGCCGGCGCTGCGGGGCGCTGGGGGCACCGGGGTTCCCTCCTGCGCCGCAGCTGGGCCCGGCCCGGCCCGGCCCGGGAGCCGGCTGCCTGGAGTCCGTGGGGCCTGGGCGAGCGGTGCTCCGGGAGGCGGCATTTTGCGGGGCTTTGGCGGCTCCATCCCACTCAACAGGCCCCCCTGCTTTGCAAACTCCCAGCGGGTGGTCGGACCTGTGGGGTGGAAAGAGGCACCTTTAACGAGGGCTTGTTTTTATGTAAACACACACACACACACACACACACACACACACACACACACACTTGTTTCCAAGCAAGGTGGGTTTTTGTTTTGGTTTGTTTTGTTTTAAAAGCGGTCCCTCTCTGGTCTAGTCGGCCACCCCATCCCCTTCCCCCAGTTCCTCCCCCGGGGCAGCCGTAGGTTTGGGCCCAGTGATTCGAGACACTACTGTGAGCTGTGTAACCAGCTCAAAGCCCCGTGGCTCCTCCAAGTCCTGCCACCTGCCCCCTTCCCGGCCCCCAACCTGGGTCTCTAGATGAAAATTAAGGGAAGGGAGAACAGTGAAAAGAGAAGAGTGAAGCTGGTTGCAGAACTAACTCCATGTCCACTTGGAGGATGTTACGAAACAGGGAGAGAGAGAGGGAAAAAAAAAAAAAAAAAAAGTCAGCCTGGGTCCTGGTTTGCAGGATTAATTCGGATTCTGGTGTCAGAAGTAGATAGTACAATGAAATTTAAAGAGGCCGGGGGAAGAAACTTGAAGATGGGGGGACCCAGCAAATTGGTGTCTGGAGGGGTGCGAGGTCCCTTGTCTCCTGTCGCACTGAGACTTAATTCACCCATCCCACGGATCCTGCAGGAGAGGACTGCAGGAAGGGCTGATTTCAAAGGGTAGAAGAGGAGGGCAGGAGGAGGGGAAGCAGGGGGAGCCGGCCAGGAAGGAGGAACAGCAGGCACAAAAGCAGAGAGGTGTGAAAGCAGAGGACCAGCTTCAGGGACTGGGACTAGCTTGGTCTGGCTGCACTTGATGGAGGAAGTCGGGGTTCAGGGTGGGCCCGTGGTGGGGGCTAAAGCACCCTCGGAGCAGGTGGGGCTATATCCGTTGTAGAGGGATGCCTATTGGTTTTTCTGCACAGGAGGGACCCAGGACATCAAATGATTGCTCCCTTTAAGACTGGCAGCTGTGGGAGAGCCAGGATTCTGTCCTCTCTCAGCATCTTGAAGACCTAGCACAAAGCCTGACAGTCTGCACAAGTGGGTAAGTGAGTGGAGAATTCACCTGAATGTTCAGGAACCCACTGGAACTTTCTGGGGGTCTCCTACTTCAAACTCCAGGCTCTGCTTTAACAATACGCAACCCAATCATCTAGCGGAGCCCTGCTGTTTTCACTTCTGATTCTTAAATTGGGGTAGAGGTCTCTATCTGGATACTACCGAGAGAAAACCAGGTCAACTAAGACGTCATGCTTTAACCCTAGAGCCCACCCTGGAGAGGACCAAGTGCTTCCTTCACAGGAGATTAGCTCCACGGGGTGCCCAGCTTTCTTGCTTTGTTTTTCAGACCTAAAGGCCTGAAGTTTCAACCAATAAATAATTTTTCCAAAGTGGGATCCCGTGGGAGAAAGTGAGTTATTTTGATCATTGGTTTAGTGTCATCGCACAGACATCATTCATTTACCAGTGTTAGTTAGCAGAGTCAAGCACTGAGAATTACAGTGAAGAAAGATTGGCTATTTTGTTATGAATGGCACCACCCAGGAGCATGGGAAGCTAATTCAGAAAAAAAAAGAAAAAAAGAAGAAGAAGAAGAAGAAGAACCCATCCCTGATGCAGGTAGGTTACGGATTATCTACGGCAAAATCGTAAGACCCTGTGGGTTAGGGGTTCGAGGTCATGCTGGGAGCTGATTGGTTAGAGGTGAGGTAAGAGTAATAAACCATCTATTCAGCATCCCTCTGCCTGGTTTCATGGGAAAGCAGCCAGGGAATCCTTCCACCTAAGGTCTCTGGAGCTGAGACATAACTTAAGCCAAGATGTTGTCTTTAGCTGACTATGACCAGCTACTGTCTTCTCCTGCCTCGGGGTTGCTGATGATCCAGGGGCAAGGCTAGGTCTCTGAAGAGTATAGAAAGAGATATCATTTCTAGAGCTGGGATTTAAAGCTAAATTTAATAATAATTTTTAAAAAAAACATAAAGACCCTCAGTTTCATTAGGGCTCCAATGGAGAAAATTTTTTCTTTTCCGTCTTTTCTTTTTTAGTTGGCCTAGTACAGTGGTCGGCAAACTGCAGCTCACGAGCCTTGGTTTGCCGCTCTGTTGACTAATGAGTTTGCCGACCACTGACCTAGACTTTCGATTCCACTGATGACAAGCTGTTGTTGTTCCTTGTGATGAAGCCCCTCAATGTCAAAATAATTCTAAAAATATTCAGTTGGTAAATATGCCAAAGTCAACAAATAGAAGAACCCGTGTCCTGCAGCAACTTCTTTTCATGGTTTTCATTTTTGGGGTCCAGAATATTTTTGTCCAGTGCAAGCTCTGTGGAGACAGGCTACTTCAAAGACTGCTCCAGGCACAGGGTAAGCTCACCAGGTGCTAATCTCCTCCCTTGCCAATCCACTCCCACTGAAAAGCAAGGATAAAACTGATTGTCTATTACACTCTATGAGAACAAATCATTTTAATATTTAACTTTATTAGCATAAATTCATTGTTTGACACTCACCCACACTGGTGAGAGAGGGAAATTATCCTTGAGACAAAAGAAAGATGTTCATCTATCTCCAATCTTCAGCTTAATTTATTTGGTCTTCATTTTGTCCAGTGTCTCATACAGGTCCCTAAAACCACCCCCAACTCCTTCCAGAGAAGACCAGACTGGAATGTTCATTAGATTTTAGCGCCACCTTGTGACAGTCATATATATATATGATTCTAGAAAACCTTATCTAACCTAAAAGCATGAATTTTATGACTATTTTTATTTTGCAATCTTTCATGGAATGTATTTATAGCTGTATTATTAATATTACCTTCAAATCTTTTTGTGAAAGGATGCTTTACAAAATTCTTTAGAAATTCTTCACATATATACTTATACACACATAACTTTTCATATACACTTTAAAAAAAACAATTCCTAAAGAGTAACTTATAAAAGAGATTAGGAGAGATAAAGGTTATGGAAACTTGATAGTTTAGATAACAATGGACTTCATTGTTCCCTAATTATAATGTACAGAATTGTAAAACAGCTTTAACCACAAATACAATTTGCTTCCGTGTATCAAATCAACACATTGTACACCATAAACTTATAGAATGTTACATATCATTTATATCTCAATACAGCTGGGGGGGATGGAGAATTAAATGAATACTGGATCACCAAAAAATAAAAATAAAAAATAATGCTTGACTCAATTATTGGGCAACTTTTATATGTGTTTAAAACAACTTAGGTATGTGAACCTGCTTTATCCTACTGGAGCATTTATGAAATTTAAATACAGACTTGGTGTTTTTAATGCAAATTTAGCATCCAAATTGAGATGGGCTATATAATTATAAAAACAAACGCTAGACTCTGAAGACAGGAAAAACATGTAAAATAGTTCATTAATAATTTTCATATTAATTACATGTTGGCCTGATAATATTTTGGGCTTAGTAGACATGCGTTTAAACATCTGAGACTTAATAGAGTGGATAGATAATTCAAAGTAATTTTGTGTTTTTATGTGTTAATGTGGCACCTGGAACATTTTAAGTTATCCGTGTAGTTCACGTTATATTTGTATTGGACGGTCTTGAAAATGTCTACAGGTTCATCGTGCTCTGTGGGTACTCCCTCCCTCACATCCTCTCGGGAGTCACCTTTATAGGATCCCCAGAAGCCCCTCATCTTCCTACGGGTGTGATTTCCTTCTTTCCCCTAAATGCAGTGCTGGGTTTCAGAGGGGCACAGACACCCAGAGGCACACTGTGGTTCAGGACAATCTGGAGCCTCCTCGTCCACTGTCCATCACTGCTCTCCACACCCGGCACCTCCAGGACTTTTCCTCTGTCCCCCAGCCCCTCCCTGCCTGCCCACCTCTCATCCCAACGCTCAGCAGTGCTTTCTTCTTTAATGTTATTTTTCAATTGCAGCGGACGTTCAGTATCATCTTCTATCACTTTCAGGTGTACAGCCTAGTGGTTAGATAACCATGTCATACACAAGTATGAACAGAGAGGCTGAGCGGGCCTGTTGCATGGTGATTCATTTTCCCTTCCATAAAAAGAGAATCAAAACCCAACCCCTGTCCAATTTTGATAGAAAAGTGGGGCTTGTGGGCTGTTTTCTGGAACTTTCCTAGCAACCTCAATCTTCTCTCTTCAGTTCAGTAAACGTG